AATATGATTTCTCTTGTGTAGTGCATAGAGTTTCATATACTAACTACGGTAGATTGGTGAATGCCTCTTAAAAGGTAGACATGACTAGAAGAGGACCGAGTATCATAAGCCGATTGTGCTTGTTGTTGTAGCAAGAAATGCGATGAGAGCTTCAATAGTAAGTAGTGTAAAAATCCGATCCACCAAACTAACCAATCGATCCATTTCTTATAGAGGGCCTTGACTTTCTTAGCATGAATCTATTCCAACGATTCTTTTCTTCATTTTCCTTTGGTCCGGTGTTATAGATCTTCTATGAAAGTTGAGCTTTTAAAGTGCAACCTATATTCTAGTACATGAAAACAAGTGTTAGTATAGGTGCCCAAGATCCAACCATGTTTGGATGGGCTTGAGTTAATGTATTATTGAATTATTTATTTTAATAATAAATAAATAATTCATTCTATTAATTCTTGTATGTTATGTTTATAAATTTGGTAGAATTGAATAAAAGTCCTTATGATAAGCATTTGCAATAGTGATTGATCGAAAGATGTGACACAAACACTAACACATATAAATGATATCATTAAACGTTCCAAGTCGTAGCATTATCAAGAATGGATGTTGGCTATATGTGGATAGACTTATGAGTACAATGCTCATGCTATATGATAACAAGTAGGAGATCTCACACCTATTGGCATGGTGATGCCAAAGCAAACACTTAGATGATTTATGTTAGAGAACATATCGCTAGACTTGACTCGCCATGAGAACCCATTTGGTTTTAGTCTATGAGAATCTCATACGAGATGGATCCAAATGGACTTTAGACTTGAAGTCATCGTGGTTATCTCATTAGAGAACTTATGCACTTTGACACTCATTTCGATGAACCCATTAAAGGGTTGCAAATGGGTGATTCATTGGGTGTACTAGAAATCTAATGGAGATAGGTATATGAATAAGATAGGACATGTCATTCCTTGTATGCTAAAGGAGTTATCACATTGCATTTAGATAAAGATTTGCTCGAAAAATCTATGACCACGATAAGAGTACACCAATAGAGCATAGTTGGTTTACTCTAAGAACTAAGACATTTGGGAATCGAAGAAAACTTCGTAATCATAATCAAACAAAACTTATAACTAAGTTCGAGATCACACTATGATAAGTTGACATGAGAATTGAACCGTATGTTAACCATACTCGTAAAAGGTAATAATTGATTGATTAATCCTCCTAGAAAATTGGGTAATCATAATGTCTTACTAGAGGTCAATTTTGATTTATGTATCAAGAGATAAAAAGAAGAGTCTTTTTTTTATTTTTGATACATTGCTAACATATCTATAGCCTATTGAGTCACACATATAAGTTTCAAGTATTCACATTATAAATTAGAAGCAAAAATAATAGAAAAATTTTTCAATTATGAAAGTTTCATGTTTTAGAAAGGGTTTCCAAGATGGAAAGTGTCCTTAAATAAGAAGTTTCTTAAAATGAAAAGTTTTCTTAATTAGAAAGTTTTCTAAAATAGAAGTTTCCTATTTAAGAAATTAGTTTCTTAATTTGGAAGTTAGTTTCAAATTTGGAAGTAAATAACCTAAAATGAAAATGAGTTTCCTAATTTAGGTTAAAGGGTATTTTGAGAAATTGTTTCCTAATGTGGACCCGCCTAAAATAATCTAAGATTATTTATTTGGATAGTCTAAATAAATTAATTGGGCTAAAATGGTTTTGACCCATTAGGATTTATAATTAAAAACCTTAAGATATTTTGGTGGAAGGATAAACATCAACCTTATTGAATAAGGGTGAATGTGTTTGAAGATAATGATCAAAAAGTCCATATATAGAAATAACTCATCATCCTTGGAGGATAAGGAAGCAATAACCTAAAGTCCTAAAGGGGACTTATTGCTGCCCCTTTCCTTATCCTTGGAGGATAAGGAAACTCTCTTATAAATATAAGGAAGAGAGAGAGAGTGCGACAACTAAGCAAAAAGAGAGAGAAAAGAAAAAATTCGACTAGCCTTAAAAACTAACTAAAGCACACGGCAAAGTGAAGAAAAAAGAAAAAATAATTTTCTCCAAAAACTCTATCACAAATATACTATTTCCTTCTCTTTTAAGGTTTTCATAAAATTGCCCGAGATTGATTTTATGGGAAACACTACACAAATCGAGAAAAGGTAGAGCTAGCACCCTATCAATTTTGAGTGCTTCTTTGTGGATACTTGGATTGCGTGGATCATCAATAGAGGTTGGACAATTGGATGAATTTTTTTATAAAATAATTTAGATCTACGCTACAAAAGGTAATCCTTTATTTTTTGCTTTAAATTCATACATGTATGAAGGAAAATTTTTATTTATTTCGTACCTCTATAGCATACATGATCCTTCGACAAGTTCGCTAGTATGAACATTAAAGTTGCTATAAATTGAGATTTAATGTGAGATTGTTGAAACTAACAATTTTTTATTTTTTATTTTTTATTTTTTTTTTTTTTTTTTTTTTGCAAGCTACTAGCAAGAGGGAGAGGTTTAGGAATGGATTCAAAAAGCTTGACATTCTTGTTACGGACATTTGTCTTTCTCAACATCCCTTTCTTGAAGGGTTTCACGAGAAGTTATTAACTCGTCATAAATTCTTACCAAAGATATAATACCTATATAAATTTATCGAGTGCAAAAGCTGAGATAATTTATTTATTATGATTTTTTTTTATCAAAAATGCAATACCTAAGAGAATTTATAATGAACCATGATTGTTATATTTTAACGATGTATAAAATCACATCGGCATAAAATGTAATAACTTCTCTTGGCATAAAGCCACCACTACTTGATTTGATGATAGTTGTTACAACTCGAAAAATCCTTTAGTTTTTTTTTTTTTTTCCCATATGAATTAATTCTTTGGCTTATGTCTTGCTTTTATTCATAACCCACTAACTCATGCTTCCTACTTGTTTACTAGGCCATGGTGCATCTTAATCAAATATATGAGTATAGATAGAGATTTATAAATCTTTGTTTGCCTTATATATATATATATATAATAGGCTCTAAGTCATTAAGTATGGTTCAAACATGACCATCTAGTTCTAAAAGACTTTTTCAAATGCTCTTAAATTGTCCAAATTACCAACGGAACAACTTAGTCTCACCTTATGTGTATTAAATCATAAAGATATTAAAATCCTATAAGAGTTTGTACATAGAGGATGAGTTTCAATATGAGTGAAAGACCTTGGAACTACTTGTAAGTTAAAAACCGTACGTACCTTAAGGTACTTTCTATCTAGTTCCCGAAACTCAAGTGTAGAGTCGATAAATACGTGTAGGTATCTTGTGTTAATGGAGTGTGTGCATGAGAAATAAATACTATCTCAAACCTAACTTACAAAACAACTATAAGTAAACTATGCAAAACAAAGATAAAACAATCGTAAATGAAAATAGAAATGGCACTCAATAAAGATAAATCATAACAAAGCAAAGATAATTCTCAAAATGTGATTAATCCTTTTTATCTCTATGGAGGAATCGATCAATCACACGATGACGTCTAGACGATTGTAAATGGTATGATTTGAATTATAAAGTTGTCACTCAATTTTCTTAGAAATAAAAACTAAGAAAAACCTAACAAACTAGTCATTAGAGTTCTAGTTAAAAGGGTTAGTTACCTAATTAGAAAAGGTCACGGTCATTCTAGTATGCCCTCGTAATAAGGATATCAATCAATTCTAACTTTTGAGAATTCATTCATGCAAAATCTATTTTTTGTATCTACTTGTCTATCCCGAATTGCAAATTGATTTTGGGCTTTTTCTAAAATAATAAAGACCTAGATCTTGAGTCTATATTAACATGTCACGCCACTTAAAACTAATGAAGTCGGGCTCTAGTCCCAATATCAAATTCAAAGCTAAATCTACTAGCAAGAGAAATTAGTGGCATAACAAAATAAAAATAAAATGAATAAAATAAAAAATAAAAAATAAAAATAATGATAATAATAATAATAAGTCTTGTCTTGGGAACAAAGTTAGTCCTAGATCCTAAACCAATCCATATAAAGTGAACGAAGCTAATATAACATCAAATAATCACACCAACAACAAAAACAAAAGCAAAACCATACATGCGTAGACTAAAAATCATAGAGAAACGACCACACAAAAATTAAAATAGCCTATCGATTTATATTAAATTATTTTAATTTTACCAACACATAATAATAATATAAAAAACTTAATGACTTTTTATAAGAAAAATAAAATAAAATGGTATTTATATAGTACTACTTAACTCAAATTAATAACATTTAAATAGAAAACATCAAGGGTTTGAACACATGAATGTAGATTTGAGTTTTTATTTGTTCACATGTTGCATAGATTGAGTTTGAGCTAAAAATATTACATAAACAATAAACAAATCACTAAGACCTCAAGTGCAATATTATTCAATTAAATCCTATAAAAAAGTTAGCTGTCAATTGATCATTTAATTTTGGTGTTAATCATATCAACATGACACAATATCATAATTTAAAAAAAAAAAAAAAAAAACACCAAGCTTATCATCCAATATGTCAAATATGGACGTCAATTAATATAAAAACGAAAGATCAGAGGTTTGCATACCTCAATTTTCGATTGACATGTTAGAATTTTATGACATAAATCCCCAATTAAATTAAAAGGTAACAAATCCCCTAATTTCTAGCTGTCTCTTCTCAGGTTCCCTTTCATTGTTCTCTTCGTCTGCACTTTGCCGCACCTTTTCATCCTCCTCCTTTCTTCGTTCTTCAATCTCAGAAGGATAAAAAATTTAAAGTTGAAGCTCTAAGAAGCTAGTTCTTGTAGATTTTCTTCTTCTTTTTGCCGAGGTACCAGCTTGTTAATGTGCAAGCCTTTTTTTTTTTCCCTCTCTCTTCTTCATTCGTTGTTATATCAATATCTGACACTGATGCAAGCCATCTTCTATGTCTACACCAATGCAAATTTCTGTACCAATAAGAGCCCCAACGTGGTTCTCAACAAGAAGAATCTTTGAACAAAAATTGCAAGACCTTCACAAATGCTCAAACTTAAACCACATAAAACAGATTTATGTCCAAATCCTCAAACGAAATCTCCACAAAGACCTTTACGTAGCACCCAAGTTAATTTCAGCTTTCTCTCTTTGTTCACAGATGACTTTAGCTATTAATGTTTTCAAACAAATTCCTGACCCTAACGTGCACTTGTATAATACTTTGATAAGAGCCTGTGTGCAAAATTCCCAATTTTTACTGGCTTTTGAAACTTTCTTTGAAATGCAAAGGAATGGGCTTTTTGCTGATAACTTTACGTACCCTTTTCTTTTAAAGGCTTGCAATGCACAGTCTTGGTTGCCTCTTGTGAAAATTATACATAGCCATTTGCAGAAATATCGTTTTTTTGAGGATTTGTTTGTGCCCAACTCACTTATTGATAGTTACTGTAAGTGTGGTTTGTTGGGTGTGAAGTCTGCAATGAGGTTGTTTATGGTGATGGATGAGAGAGATGTGGTTTCTTGGAATTCTATGATTAGTGGATTAGTGAAAGTAGGGGAGTTGAGTGAAGCTTGCAAACTGTTTGATGAAATGCCTGTCAAAGATGCGGTTAGTTGGAATACGATATTGGATGGGTATGTGAAGGCAGGAGAGATGAATAAAGCGTTTGGACTGTTTGAGAGCATGCCAGAGAGGAATGTGGTTTCGTGGTCCACAATGGTTTCCGGTTATTGTAAAGCAGGAGATATGGAAATGGCTAGAATGTTGTTTGATAGGATGCCGGTCAAGAATTTGGTTTCTTGGACTATAATTGTATCTGGGTATGCTGAAAAGGGGCTAGCAAAGGATGCCATTAGATCATTTGAGCAAATGGAGGAGGCTGGTTTGAAGCCTGATAATGGCACTGTTATTAGCATATTGGCTTCTTGTGCAGAGTCTGGTCTGCTTGGTTTAGGGAAGAGAGTTCATGCTACTATTGAGAGGATTAGGTATAAGTGCAATGTTAATGTGTCAAATGCATTGGTTGATATGTATGCAAAGTGTGGTCAGGTGGACAAGGCGCTAAGCTTGTTCAATGGGATGTCAAAAAAGGATTTGGTCTCTTGGAATTGCATGCTCCAAGGGCTAGCCATGCATGGGCACGGTGAGAAAGCGCTACAGCTCTTTTCTAGAATGAAGCAAGAAGGGTTCAGGCCTGATAAAGTTACTCTGGTTGCTGTTTTGTGTGCTTGTGTTCATGCAGGCTTTGTTGATAAGGGGATTCGATACTTCAATAATATGGAGAGGGATTATGGCATTGTTCCCCACATTGAGCATTATGGTTGCCTGGTGGACCTTTTGGGTCGCGGAGGTCGGCTTAAAGAAGCTTTTAGGCTTGTGCAAAGCATGCCAATGGAGCCAAATGCTGTTATTTGGGGTACCCTTTTGGGGGCCTGTAGAATGCATAATGCTGTGGGACTTGCAGAGGAGGTACTAGATCGCCTGGTTAAGCTGGAACCATCGGATCCTGGTAATTACTCTCTGTTGTCAAATATTTTTGCATCTGCGGGAGACTGGAGCAGTGTTGCAAATATAAGGCTGCAAATGAAAAATATTGGAAAACAGAAACCATCAGGGGCTAGTTTCATTGAGGTGGACGATGAGGTCCATGAATTTACTGTATGTGACAAATCACACCCTAAATCAGATAAAATTTATCAAATGATTAACAGATTGGGTCAGGACCTGGAGCAAGTTTGCATTGTCCCAAAGGTATACCTTTAGGGGTTGGTTGGCGTTGGCTCAACTAGAAGCACTGCCAAAGTACTGCATTCATTTCCTCATTTAAAGTGCAGGGAACGCTGTTTTGAGAATGGACAAAATGCATAATGCTGTGGCCTGTAGGAATTGTAGAGGAGACACTAATTCCCTGTTAATGTTGGAACCATCAGATCTGCGTGATCTCTTTGCCGGATATGTTTTTTGCTGCAGATGATCAGAACAGTTTTTCCAATGCATCGGTGTAAGCTATGCTTCACGGTGTGGTCTGTGAATTCACTGTGTTTTGGAAAATCGCTTTGTGAATTATATAAAACTCATCAAATGATTCAAATATTTTATCAGACCCTGAAGCGAGTTGGCTAGGCCCAACACGTACCTGCAGGGGGGCTTAGTAGCTAGAGTGTTCATTGTCACAAAAAGGTACTGAAGGATAAAATTGCCCAAATCCGGTTTTAAATAAAACCAAAGCAAAGCTTAAACAAAACCTATTGTCTTTGGTCAGATCATTTTGTTGTTTTTCTAGCATAAAAACTTAATTAGGGGGTTAGATTTAGAAATCTTTGAAAGAAAGAAGACAGCAAAGGAATTAAAGATATATAATACCAAGATTAGAAAAGTAGGAAAAATTAGCTGAGTAAATGCGTCTATGTTGGCAATAAACTTGTATAACTTTTCATGCCATACTAAGAAAAAAATCCATATGATTTGTACCCAAAGGAAAGCAGCAGTGTGGTTACATCAAGGAAAGTGAACAAAATCCTGCATCCCCAACCTGGAGTCAGGTCACTCTGGATATAAAACTGGAAATGCAGGTCCTGCCTCAAACAGGCTGTGAACGTGCCCAGAATGTTGGAGCTTTTGGAACCTCAGATAGATGTTTAAAGATGATTATTGCTGAAGCCTGCATGACCGAAGCTTGGTAACTAACAGGTGATGTCAAGCCTGCAGCAAACTCTACCAGGAATGATTGAAGAAAGTGTGATTGCAGTTCAGGCTGAAGACAACGGTGCAAAAAATGATGAACAGTAGTTCCTGTTAAGCTTGGGACTTAATCTGAAAACTATCCTTGGACGCTCTATGGATTCGTAAACATGTTTATTCAAAAGATCTTTAACCTATGAAGGCTATTACATTTTCTATGTCAGACAATTGACTTTATTTTTCTTTTTCTTTTTTTATTCTTTCTAATACATACAAGCTTTTGTGACTCTGAAGATTCTGGTTATGTGCAAATGTTGCTATGTTTTTGTTATTCTAGGGTATTCTTGAAATGTTTAAAGTAGCTCGTAAAATTTAAACATAGATTTACAAGACGGAGACTGTCTGATTGGTTGCAAGCTTCTTGAAGTGTTCGCTGGTTTGGTCCTACCATTATAGCATTTCAAGAGATTGAAATATGATTGTCTGATCGCATGGCTTTGAGATACAGTTTCTTGAGATGGATATATCGTGTTTTTGTTCCTGCTTGGTTTTTTCTCTGTTTGTAAGACTCAAAACTACATACACATATAGGTTTAATGACAAATTTTGCCTCTATTTTATTGCGATTTAGTAATTTTAGACTAATAGTACTAAATGATGTGTAATTTGAATCCTAAAGTATTGGAGATTAGGCAAATACGATTCAAATTGTTCAATCTTTATTTTGTTCAATCCAGGTTGACCGTTACTTGAAAAGCTAAGATGACATCGTTTTGACATTCCGTCGTTAATTATATTTTTTTCTAAAAAAAAATAAAAATATTTGTAATCCCCTAATTTTGATTTTTTTATAAAATATTATAAATATTTTTAACTCCCTAATTTTGAACCTTTTTTAACTTTTTTTTATATATAATTTATAAAATTAGGGAGGTCAACCTTTAATTATGCTCATTTTAATTTATAATATTTTTAAGGCTTGAAATTGAGTATTGTTAATTATGTTCTTTTACAATAATATTTTATATAAAAAAAATTATTAAAAAGTTCAAAATTAGAGAGTTAAAAATATTTATAATAAGAAAAGGTTAGTTCAATACTAGGGAGTTAAAAATATTTTTAAAATATTTTTTTTTAAAAAAAAGATATTTAATGTTGGAATGCCAAAACAATGTCGTTCGATATTTCAAATAATAGTCAACTCATTTTATTGTTACACATAACGAAGATTGAATAATTTGAATCATATTTGCTCAATCTCTAATACTTTAGGATTCAAATGATACAATTTGGTATTATGAGTTCAAAATTATCAAATCGTAATAGAATAGAAATAAAATTTATCATTAAACTCACACACATATAATCTTAACCACCAGCTTAATTTGTAAATGGAATCTATCTTTTACCTAGTTAAATTAGGATATAAAGGTTCGCCTATTTTTGGACTAAGGTTAATTGTCAAAAGGGTTGAACTTTAAATTTATATTTGATTCATATTTCGGTCGATAATTCAGCTAACCTAAACAAGCCTAATTGATGTAGGGATTAATGTTCGCATGTTTATGAAGGATTTAACGTGCCAAATTCAACTTAGCCACGAAATCGTTTGAATTTCAGGTTGGCATGCCACTCCAGCAACCTCATGCCTAGTCATAAGTGGAAAGCAAGTTGCCAATTAGGAGCATTTTTAGTAACCAAGAGATTACAATTGCAAGCTATAATTCTAAATTGTCATTTGTTTGAATTGATGACCAAATTAAGGGTTTCTAAAACATATCATGCATCTGATGCTGCTGATTTTTGGTGAAATATTAGGCACTGATCTCATTTATAGATAATAGGGGAAATTACGAAAAACATTACGTAGGTTGGTAGCAAGAGCGCTTTGCGCCCTCATTTTTCAAAAATTACGCTTTACACTATAATTTTTATTTTTATTTCAAAAAGCACCATGTATTATAATTTTGTTATCAGTCTCAAATTTTCAAGAAAAAAAAGTCCAAATTATAACAAATTTGCCATTCAATTTTTATAATGGTCAAAATACCGTTTTCAAAGCATTTTATAATTCTTGTGCTTTATTTTTATAATTTTTTTCCAGAAATGAAGCCTTTTTTGTGCTATGAATGTGGAAAAATTATCTCAAAATTCTTCTCTTTCCTTTCAATTTCTCAGCAATTAAGCAGAGACATGGCAAAATTCATTTAAAACCCTATAAGTTTCTCTCTTCAATTTCCTGCAGATTCTCATTATTAAATAACAACAAGTGTTTGACTTGTAAGCCATATCTAGGGTTTGATCCTTATGACTAGCACTTATAAGAATTTATTCTCAAAACACACGAGATCGTGTGTTAGGAAGTACCTTTTGGCTATTAGTCTTGAAGTGCATAAAATCTAATTTGAGGATACCTTTTTTATTGAACAAAAAATAATAAATAAATAAATAAAATAACAAGAAGTCTTTTTGAATATGCAATTGCACCTTTTGGACAACAAGTTGTTGCCATTTCCTTTCTCCCCTCCATGAAAATCTATGAGTGGATTCTCATGCTGTTGCGAACTAGAGAATGAAGCCATAAATTTTGAAAAAAGGAAAAAGACTAACATTCTCAAACTATTGATAGAACCCATGATGTCAAATGATACTATTGCATCTCTCTCTGCACATCACCTTTTAAAAGGATTTTAATATCCTCTAATAATCATGTTAGATTTATTGCATGTTTATTAATCTTTGTATTTACTAAAAAGGAAACAAATCCTATGCATAAACATATATACATGAATAGATATGGAATTTTTTCTTAGTAATTAAACACATACATGAAAAAATTCATTTAAAATCCATAAGAAATATGCTCTCTTTTTTTTTCATTTTCTCTCCACTTTCTCAAGCAACCAAACACAAATACCCAAATTTCCTTATTAATCAAACAAAAAAGCTCTAAAATTGAACACTAAAAAAATGAACCCCAAATTTTTCCCATAACAAAAGATTAAAAAAAAACCATATCAATTTTTCACAAAAGAGTTGTGACGGAATAATTGTTATTCTTGTCGCTTCTAATAAATATTTAGCGCATGAGTCATTTTTTGTTCAAGATTTCAAGTTCGTCTAACATGGCATAACACATAGAATGACACATGGATAAAAGTCTATGTAGGATGACATGTGGATAACAATTAGAATTTCATCAATCGGGGACGACATGTCACCCACTTATTCAAACCAATTTCTAAAACTAACTAACCTAATTTAATTCAACTCATAAAAAAAAAAAATCCCTAATCTTTTTTGTCTTCTCTACTCGATCGATGAACAAGCCCAAATCCTTAATCTTCTTCTCTTTTTACCCGATGAACAAGAACCCTAATCTTCTTATCTTGTTTACACAACGAACAAGAACCTTAATCTTTTTCTCTTTTCTCTTCTTCAACTAGCACATTTTCTCCTCACAAAATTCCGAAACCAAAACTCACACCTACATTAACATACCTTTCGAGAAGCTCACGAATCTTCAACAAGTATGCATTCCCTCATGAATCTTTAACTATAAGATTTCCTCTCTCTCTATCTCTACCTATTCTCATTTCATTTTTTGTGGGTTTTCTAATTTATGTTTATTTTGATGATTCTAGGTTTTCGTGCCTCATTTACCTATATAAATGCTTCAATCGCATTGTGATGGATCAAAACTCATACTTGCGTTACCCACACCTCGTATTTTCATCACTTTTAGAAAGCCCACAAATATGGCATATATAGATAGTAGCTTCAACATGGATGAAGCTTTGAAAATATGTTCTCTAACTTTCAAGACACTTTTATGCAAGCACAAGACAAAGATGAGCCTATATATTTCACAAACGGAAACGAACCCAAGGAAGAAGTTTGTTTGTTGTCCATATTGAAAGGTATTGATTGTTCATAATTACTGAAAGTACTGAAATTTCTCCCTTGTTACAAGGATGAATATCGCATATTTGATATTTTATTTCCATAAAACATTACAACTTTCAGAGTTGACAATTATGGGTTTTAGAATTGGATTGAAGATGACCACTTTATGTGTGGAG